TCAACATCTATATAATAAAACATGATGGTTTTTGAATTTGTCCTACATACATTTGTCCTCGTAGGACATTTGGACAGCTCAGATCTATTTAAATTAAAAAACAACGACTGAGATATATTTTCCAAAAAATATTCTACATATACATTTTCTATTTTCCCGGTTCTCTTTCTTACTTTTTCCTTTTCTCACGCATCCTTCTATGATCCCATGAGCCCACCTTCCTCTCTCATTTATTTATTTTTATTTTATTTTATTTTCTCCCATTTTTATTTTTCTCCCTATTTTTTTTATTTTTTATTTTCTCTTTTTGTTCACTTATTTTCATTCATGTTATATGGAAAAGTCTGCGATCTCAGAATTAGGAGATAGATTTTACAGTGTGCAGTGGAGATTAAATTAATGAATTTCATAGTCCACAAATTAAATGAATTTGAATAATTAAATATTATTTTTAAATATATTGAATATTTGATAGATTTCATAAATTTAGACCTCATATAAATCTTCAACATCTATATAAAAAAGCAGGATAATTTTTGAATTTGTCCTACATACATTTGTGCTACTAGGACATTTGAACGGCTCAGATCTATTCAAATTTTAAAACACCGGTTGAAATATATTTTCTAAAAAATATCCTACATTTACCTTTTCTATTTTCCCGCTTCTCTCTCTTATTTTTTTTCTTTTCTCACCCATCCTTCTATGATCCCATGATCTCACCTTCCTATTTCTTTTATTTTTAATTTTTTTATTTTCTCCCATTTTTATTTTTTACTCTTTTTGTTTATTTTTTTTATTTTCGCTCTTTTTGTTCACTTATTTTTATTCATATTATATGGAAAAGTCTGCGACCCCAGAATTATGAACTAGATTTTGGTGGTGTTTGGCAAGTGGGTTGGGGCTAAAATAGCCACAAAAGACAAAACAGGCTATTTTAGCCACAACAAACAAAACATCACATCCAACCCATAATCATTACACTCTTCTCTCACAAAAAAAAGTCAAAAAGCCAAAAAGCCAAAAAGCCCTTCCCAAACCAAGCTTTTTAGCCCAGGCTAAAATAGCCAAAAAAGCCAAAAAGCCAAAAAGCCAACCCACTTCCCAAACGGAGGCTTTGCTTTATGTAGTGGAAATTAAATTAATGAATTTTATAGTCCACAAATTAAATGAATTTGAACAATTAATTATTATTTTTAAATATATTGAATACCTGATAGATGTCATAAATTTAGACCTTATATGAATCTTCAACATCTATATAATAAAGCATGATGATTTTTGAATTTGTCCTACTAGGACATTTGAACGGCTCAAATCTATTCAAATTATAAAACAACGGTTGAGATATATTTTCTAATATCTTACATGTACATTTTCTATTTTTCCGGTTCTCTCTCTTACTTTTTCCTTTTCTCACACATCCTTCTATGATCTCATGATCCCACCATCCTCTCTCTTTTATTTATTTTTTTATTTTTTCCCATTTTTATTTTTCTCCCTATTTGTTTTTTTTTTCTCCTTTTTTTTCACTTATTTTTATTCATGTTATATGGAAAAGTCTGCGATCCCAGAATTAGGAGCCAGATTTTACAATGTGTAGTGGAGATTAAATTAATGAATTTTATAGTCCACAATTTAAATGAATTTGAATAATTAATTATTATTTTTAAATATATTGAATACCTGATAAACTTCATAAACTTAGACATCCTATGATCTTTAACATCTATATAAAAAAGCAGGATGATTTTTGAATTTGTCATACACACATTTGTGCTATTAGGACATTTGGACTGCTTAGATCTATTCAAATTTTAAAATAGCGGCTGAGATATATTTTTCAAAAAATATCCTACATTTATATTTTCTATTTTCTCGCTTCTCTCTATTACTTTTTCCTTTTCTCATCCATCCTTCTATGATCCCATGATCCCACCTTCCAATCTCTTTTATTTTTATTTTCTTTTATTTTCTCTCATTTTTATTTTTCACTCTTTTTGTTTTTTTATTTTTATTTTTATTTTCTCTCTTTTTGTTCACTTATTTTTATTCATATTATATGGAAAAGTCTGTGATCCCAGAATTAGAAACCAGATTTTACTTATGTAGTGGAAATTAAATTAATAAATTTTATGATCCACAAATTAAATGAATTTGAACAGTTAATTATTATTTTTAAATATATTGAATACCTAATAGATTTCATAAATTTAGACTTTATATGAATCTTCAACATCTATATAATAAAGCAGGATTGTTTTTAAATTTGTCATACACGCATTTATCCTACTAAGACATTTGAACGGCTCAGACCTATGCAAACTATAAAACAATGGCTAAGATATATTTTTTAAAAAATATCATACATGTATATTTTCTATTTTTTCGCTTCTCTCTCTTACTTTTTCATTTTCTTACCCATCCTTCTATGATCTTATGATCCCACCTTCATCTCTCTTTTATTTTTATTTTCTCCCATTTTTATTTTTCTCCCTATTTGTTTTTTTTTTTCTCTCTTTTTGTTCACTTATTTTTATTCATATTATATGGAAAAGTCTGCGATCCCAGAATTAGGAGCCTGATTTTACTGTGTGTAGTGGAGATGAAATTAGTAAATTTTATAATCCACAAATTAATGAATTTGAATAATTAATTATTATTTTTAAATATATTGAATACCTGATAGACTTCATAAATTTAGGACTCATATGAATCTTCAATATCTATATAAAAAAACAGGATGATTTTTGAATTTGTCCTACATACATTTGTGCTACTAGGACATTTGGACAACTCAGATCTATTCAAATTATAGAACAACGGCTGAGATATATTTTTCAAAAAATATCCTACATTTACATTTTCTATTTTCTCGTTTCTCTCTCTTATTTTTTCCTTTTTTCACCCATCTTTCTATGATTTATTCAAATTATAAAACAATGGCTAAGATATATTTTCCAAAAAATATCATACATGTATATTTTCTATTTTTCCGCTTCTCTCTCTTACTTTTTCATTTTCTTACCCATCCTTCTATGATCTTATGATCCTACCTTCATCTCTCTTTTATTTTTATTTTCTCCCATTTTAATTTTTCTCCCTATTTGTTTTTTTTTATTTTCTCTCTTTTTGTTCACTTATTTTTGTTCATATTATATGGAAAAGTCTGCGATCCCAGAATTATGAGCCAAATTTTATTGTGTGTAGTGGAAATGAAATTAGTAAATTTTATAATCCACAAATTAATGAATTTGAATAATTAATTATTATTTTTAAATATATTGAATACTTGATAGACTTCATAAATTTAGAACTCATATGAATCTTCAATATCTATATAAAAAAACAGGATGATTTTTGAATTTGTCCTACATACATTTGTGTTACTAGGACATTTGGACGACTCAGATCTATTCAAATTATAAAACAACGGCTGAGATATATTTTTCAAAAAATATTCTACATTTATATTTTCTATTTTCTCGTTTCTCTCTCTTATTTTTCTTTTTCTCACCCATCTTTCTATGATCCCATGATCCTACCTTCCTATCTCTTTTATTTTTATTTATTTTTTTAGTTTCTCCCTTTTTGATTTTTCACTCTATTTTTTTTTTCATTTTCTCTCTTTTTGTTCACTTATTTTTATTCATATTATATGGAAAAGTCTGCAATCCCAGAATTAGGAGTCAGATTTTATTTTGTGTAGTGAAGATTAAATTAATGAATTTTATAGTTAACAAAGTAAATGAATTTGAACAGTTAATTATTATTTTTAAATATATTAAATACCTGATAGATTTCATAAATTTAGATCTTATAAAAATCTTCAACATATTTTTATAAAGTAGGACGGCTTTTGAATCTTCAATATATTTTTGTACTATTAGGACATTTAGATGGCTCAAATCTATTTAAATAATAAAACAATAACTAAGATACATTTTTCCAAAAAATATCATACATATACATTTTATACTTTCTTGCTTCTCACTCTCTTACTTTTTCATTTTCTCATACATCCTTCCATGATCTCATGATCCCATCTTTCTCTCTTTTCTTTTCTTTTTTTTTTATTTTCTCCCGTTTTTATTTTTCTCTCTAATTTTTTTTTATTTTTTCCTTTTTATTCAATATATTTTACGCATATTTCCATAGAATGTATGTATGCCCGTAATAATACACTAGAACATTATGGGCATACGTACGATTTTTATATAATTATATAAGCAAAAGCAATATTATATGTATGCCCGTGAAAATTGTATGCATGTCAAGCACATCTATCTATCTAGCTATATATTATACAAGCAAAAGCGAGTTTTCCCGAGAAGTTTTGTGAGAACTTCAAAAATTTATAATAAATTTGTAATTTTATCAAATTAAAAAATAAATTTAAATAGTGTTAGAATTGCAATTATATAATCTAATCTTAACATTAATTACACCGTGCCTTCCGGCACGGACATACACTAATTATTTTATATTATACCTAACACGGGTAACGTGCTAGTAATAATAATAATAATAAAAGGTCTACCCAATTTACTAGGCCCAAACCCATTCAATCAGAGAAGTTATTCATTAGGTCCAAAATTATTTATTAACTCCGATCTATGAAAGGGGACACATAATTAATTTGTCTAAAATATAGGAGAAAAGGACAAGGGGTGCACAGCAGGCTGTGCCGTGAATGGAAAAATAAGGGGCTTCAGATATTTTTGTTTTTTTTTTCTTTTCTTTTTGCCCTTTTGGCTGTACAGCAGTGCCTGCTGTACAGCAGGCACCCCTCTCCCAGGAGAAAATGGCAGATCATATAGGATATAAACTGGACCTAGAAGATAATTTCTGCATCCAACAGGGACTAAATTGGACCAACATTTTAATTAGAAATGTCAATTGAGATGCTTTTCATTGTTATTTAACATGCTCATTGTGCATGCTACCATCATGTTCATTGAATCACCTGTCCATGTAGGGTGTAAAAAAGAAAATGAAAGTTTTTAGATGCAAATTAAGACATATTTTCTTCATTTAGGACGTATTCAATTTCTAAATCCTAATCAAATACTCCTACCAGTCAATAATCAATATTCAAAAACCCTTACATCAGATGGTAAACACCAAAAATATTCAAATAATACCAGCTGATGGGTTAATTGTTGCAGATATAAATAACCCCCCACTTTGCACCCATTCTTCATATACATTGTTCTATCAACCCTTTGTTTGCCTAATCATATGAGACCTCCAAACATTGTCTTGGCCATTCTAGCACTAGTTTTTCTTCTATGCATTAAACCACATGAAGCTTGTAGAGTTTTGGATAAAGAGTGGATGAAAAATGAAAATCTTCTATTACTGTCTCTAGCAAGGGATTTTGTCCCCCCTTCAAGACCAGATGGACTCACATCCCTGCAAGCACGATAAGCGAAAAAGGCTTCGCCGGTCATGCCGTGCCTCCTCCTGTGGACCCACAACATTTGGCGTGGCCAAAAATTAATCATTTATGAAACTCAGCCAGCAGCCATCGATTAAATCACAATAATATCACAATACCTCTGTACTAAAAAAATACAATATCACAATACCTTCACACTAAAAACCAGAAAAACAGATGTAACCGGTGAATAAAGTACGTCAGACCAAAAAAAATAAAGAAGAACAAGAAATTGAAGAATTTTGTATCTTTTCTTCTTTCTTTTTTTTTTTTGATAAATACCTCCGTTCTCTACATGTTGTTGGGTGTAGTATATGTACTAGTGCGATACAGTAAGGAGAGGACAAGGGAATGCTCTTGGGGTGCTATATTTTGATACTGATCCTAATAGAAGAATAAAAAGAGCAAGTTGATTTACAAGTATTTTACTTCTTGCTTGCTAAATGCTATTGTTTTCTGTTGTTGGTGCTCTTCTGTACAGGAGTTTTTCTACAGGAGCAAGCTCCATCATGTTCTTGGTTGAGTTCGTACCAACAGCAACATGAAATTTGCCATTCTGGTCAAGTTTGGAATTATAAATGATGAATGACTAACCATCCAAATAATCTGTGATAAGAGTGAAAGGGTGTCCCAGGGCACTAGTGTGGGTGCTGCCAAAGACCCTCCAACAGTCAAGTTAGTAAACTTCAACAGGAAGGCAAGGCACTCAAGGAAATGGTTTAGGGTTTTAGAATTGCTTACTTTGTGCATTCTGCCGCTCTTTCTTCATATACTCAACTTCTCTCATGTAACGTTGAATCTTCAATCACCTCCTTCACGCATGGAGGTATTTTTGCAAATATTGTATTTTAAATGACCATATAAACATGAGGTCAGTAAATTCTGAGTGCCAGCCTATTATACATGTATACTAACAGACGGCCAATTTGTAGACCAATCAGAATATCCGGGTTGGTCTCTAAATCTAATGTTCATGAACACGTATTCTAAATATCTAAAGCAAATTTATGTTTTTTTTTTTTATTCTATTATTTAGATTTATTATTTCAATTTATCATGATGCATCTTAAATATCTTAATCAATTAAACTTCAACTGTCCAATTGATGGACTCTTATTTCTCTCAATATAATATTTCGATTCAAATAAGCTAATGAAATAGTTCCAAATCTCTAATTGACTGGAGTTTTAGTCTGCTGGTGAGATGATGGTGGTTGGGATAACTGGAATACTAAATTGGGATACATTAGAAATGATTGTTTGTTAAAAGTTTTCATATTTTATATTTTCATTTAAAAAATTATTTTTGTTTCTCTGCATATTTTATTTTTCTTGCTGTTATTAACATAACTAGTAAACCAGAAATGAAATCCCTTATAATTTATTTTCCTTTCCCTCTCAATTTCCAATTCCTGATGGAAGACGATCGACAACCACAAAAAAAAAAAGGGGGAGAAGTTTGATTTGAGATGGTTCAACAATGGTGAAGATGAATCTACTGGCTTTGTTATGTATGTTTTACCATGTTTTGTAATTCTAACTAATTCCCACATGGCTTTACTGAAATTTCTGTTGTTTGACTGAGGGATGGGTGTGAAGGTTGACCACAGTAGAATGGTTCAAAAACACGGGTTTTATTTCATCTTTGAAACCCTTCCTCCTAAGCTTGTCTAGAAAATCAACATCAGAACATTCAGTTATCAACAATTAACTCCAAATCAAGAGTCCAAATACGTCACTACTTTCAAATTGCCTTCAACATGAATGTGAAAATAAGTCAAGAGACAAGAAAATGGACCCGTCAAAATTTAAAACAAATCCATCAAATGGGATAGTCAGGTAATTGGGCTCCCAGCTCATCCACTAGGGCTCAAACCCAACAGCTTCTCCCGTGAACCACAGTAGAATGGTTCAAAAACACGGTTTTATTTCATCTTTGAAACCCTTCCTCCTAAGCTTGTCTAGAAAATCAACATCAGAACATTCAATTATCAACAATTAACTCCAAATCAAGAGTCCAAATACGTCACTACTTTCAAATTGCCTTCAACATGAATGTGAAAATAAGTCAAGAGACAAGAAAATGGACCCGTCAAAATTTAAAACAAATCCATCAAATGGGATAGTCAGGTAATTGGGCTCCCAGCTCATCCACTAGGGCTCAAACCCAACAGCTTCTCCCGCTGCCCTCTTGGGATTGGATAAATATATGTGATGTTCTTACACGTACCCCAAAAAAAACCCAAAAAAATCATCTATATTCTTTCCCATATTGGATATAAGTGACCAGGTGGTACAAGAAAACCATGCCAGAAGAATTTCTCTTTGGATTATGTTTTGCTCTTCAATTGTTACAAGTCAGGTAGAAATTTCACCTCAAGAAACAGTAGTGAGCCAAATATCAATGATTTACAGATTAAACAGAGAAAATAATATTAGATAGATATCGCTTTCAGAAAAAAAAATAAATAGATACTAGATAAAACCTCTCTTATGTTATGCTACATGTGTTGCCACTGACCTTAATTTGAGTACATTCTAAGAAATTGGCAATCATCGTACCAGAGGCCTTCATGTTGATGTACTAAAAATTTTGCACAGTTCATTTAAAGTCATATCGAAAGGGTTATTGAACTACCATTTCAAAATTATTTATACCTAGTAAACATAATTTGAGTTTAGGATGTTCAAATAATGATTTAATTGTATATAGGATTGAATGATAAGTGCACAGGACAATTAAAAAGAAACACAGACCATGGGGGGAAAACAATTCTGCAGAAATCTTGAATTCATTATAAAGGTCCAAATTCTTATTTAATAGATCTCTTTAGGCTTTACCTAAGCTATAAATTTAAAGTTTTATCTCACCATAAAATCCTAATCCCTAATTTCGTTAATTTATGGACTTCATATTCTTGAACATGCTGCACGTAAAATAACATGCTTCACTGCCTCTACGCGGTATAAAACTCTAGAAAATCGTTTTCATGAATTCAACTAAAGCCAGACAATATATTGTTGAAACAATACAGAGACAAGATATACAACAAGAAGCTATTCCTAGTTTTCCAAAAGGAATCAATCCTCAATTGACATTGAGATATTGCCAATTCTTACAAAATGATACATAACATACCTTGATACTAATCTTACAGATACAACTTCAAAGCTGGATCATCTCGCAAGAGCGGCAACCAACTTCTCCTTCAAATGCTCCGCAGCACCACTTTGAGTTCTGATCGAGAATGTATGAACAATCTCTCCATTATCTGTAGTTGAAACTTTAGACTCTTGTGCTATAACTTGATGCTCCCTAAATGTCTGTATAACCCTAGAAACTGGGTGAGTATCCAATGGACAGCTCACTCGTACAACTGCATCTTCGTGCCTTGCCTGAAAATCAATTTCCGAGACAGTACATTGCTTTTGCTTATTGTTACCCACATCCTTTTCAGCTTCTAAGATCCTTATTTTCCTCTGAAGGTCAGTGATGTATGTAATGGCATCACCGAGCAGAGAAGCCTTGTCCATCTTGGAGATGTTAGGAACAACAGCTCTTAATGCATAAAACCGTTGGTTAAGCTTCTCTCGCCTCTGCCGCTCTGCTTCAACGTGATTCAAAGGTTCCTCTCTCCCATTGGCAGGCTTTCTCCCCCGTTTTCTTGCTTTTCTCTCATCGGGATGAATCAACAAGTCTTCTTCAGCCTGTTCTCCGTTCATATGAGGAAACAATTTGGCCTCGCCATCATCGCTTCGACACCCATTAGAAGAGTTCCCATAAACTTGATTAGTGCCCACTGCCCGCAACTCATAAGACTCTGAAGGAAATCCCAAATCGTCTTCCACTTTAGGTGAAAAACTTATAGTCATAGGATGCGACTTTGCACCACCAAGACTAAGTTCACGCCCAAATATCTTTGGCAACGACACCTTTGCCTGTAACAGAGATCCCCCAAATGTAGTTTTCACCATTTGAATCAAACTTTGTTCTTCAGGAACTGACTTAACAGAACCAATCTCCACTACCCCTGATTTTAATGGCACAAAAACCACCGTCTCAAATCGAGCCAATTTTGCTAAATATGACCTCGATTGGTAATGTTCTGAACAACCCTTGGTATCCGAAACCCAAATCACTCTACCAGTATTGAATGATTGAGAAGGACTAGAGGGCTTGTCAAATGGGAATGAATAATACATTGATGTGAGATAGAACAACTCCACATCTGAAACTGAATCCAAATTCCCCACATAATTATCTTCCTCTGACCCTCCAAAACAGGCGTGGAGCTTTTGCAAAACCCTCTTTCTCCCATCTCCAGCCTCCAATTTCCGATCCCCGGAACCATTCCCATCCTCAACCTCACTCCCCTTGGGCTCTCTGCAATGCCCATCACCCCAAATCAAGGCTGAATTGCCCGATTTTGATTTCGCGACCTGCCATAAAATGGCATAAGTCCAATTGGACCCATCAACAATCTTACACAGCCTCTGCTGCACACCCAAATCCCCAGCCGATGATGCGAACTCTGACAACACATTGCCGGAGGCCGAAGCAACTAAGAAATTAAAGGCTTCAGTGCCCAACACAGTTACCACCATACCCTTGTCTTCTTCATTCAACCAAAACTTCTCACCCATCTCTCAAACAATTCAACAAACACTTTAAAGGCAAACAACAACTTAAGGGGCCCAATTCTTGACACAGAAAGAAACAGCAGAATCTTGAAATTTAGAAACTTGGGTTTGATTGTTCATATGAAAACGAACAATCACCAGTTGATTTCTTGTGATAGTTTGATACATCAACAATTACATGTACATATATGTATTGAATGTGTGTATATATCAACAAAAAATAGTGCGATTAAAAGAAGAAAGAAGAGAGTTACCTGAAGTAGGCATGGATGAGTGCGACTTTTAGGATAAGATTAACTCGTGTTTCATGTGCCTTCAACAATGACGCGCTGGTGTCTGCTTTGTAGATCTGAACTGTTTAGGGCTTTTATTTTGTGGGTACAGATACAATGCACCTGGATCAAAATATATATATATATATATATATCTAAATTTTTTTATTTAGGCCTTATTTGGCATAACCTAAAAAAGTCAAAAAGTCACTATCTTATTTAAATTACATCATTTTATTTAAGTCACATCACCTGTCTAACACGTCACTTCAAATCCAGCCAATACCCAACCAATATTTCATAAAAATTCAAAAAGTCTTTTAGGCCTTGTTTGGCATGACCTAAAAAAGTCAAAAAGTCACTATCTTATTTAAATTACATCATTTTATTTAAGTCACATCACCTGTCTAACACGTCACTTCAAATCCAGCCAATACCCAACCAATATTTCATAAAAATTCAAAAAGTCTATTTATTTAGATAATCCCAAACCACCTCTTAATTTTAAAATAATTAGTTAATAATAAGGGTCATGCTTGGTAGCTCGAAAGAGCTACCCCGAATCCCTCGAATTTGCAGAAAACAGAAGAAGGAGAAGGAAGGAGGAGGAGGAAGAGGAAGAAGAAGAAGAGAAGGAAGGAGGAGGAGGAGGAAGCCGAAGGACTGGAGGGGGCCAAATAAATCGGGGTGTGGAGGCCGAGGCGGTGGGCGGAGGCAGAGGCAGTGGCTGCGACGGCGAGGAGCTGCGATGGCGAGCGACGGGTGACGGGCGACCAGCTCTTCCCTGCGACGGCGAGAAGCTCTTCCCTACGACGAGCTCTTCTCTCCCTCTCCCTCTTTCTCTTTCTCTTTCTCTTTCTCTTTCTCTTCCTCTCCCTCTCCCTCTCCCTCTCCCTCTGTCTCAGAGCTGCGTGAAGAAGAAGAAGAAAAAAAAAATAATAATGCCCAAAACGACATCGTTTTGGGCATTAGGGGGATTAGGGGGCATTTTTCGAGCTCTCAAACATTATCCTAATAATAAAGCCTATCATTGACATCAAAAGGATTTTTTATTATTATTATTATTAACTTAATTATTAATGCTAGGCTTTATTATTAACTTAATTATTTTAGAATTAAATAAAAAAGTTTAGATTTTTTTTTTTTGGTTACAAGCTCTGTTTTTTAAAGTATTGGAAAATAAAATAATTTTAATCAATGTGTTTGATTCAATTTTTTGAGTTTAGTTTTTTTTTAAATTGAGTTTTTTATTTTTCATTTTTTTTTTTGTTCTTAGTTAATATTTTTTAAATTTTAAGTAAATCTTTTTTTACTTTTTTAGATACACCTTACTAAGATGTATCTAAATAGTAAAATATTTGTGAAAAATAATTTTAAAAAATTAATAAATACACAAAAAACAAAAAATGTATTGAATTTTCATTTTTTTTAATATTTTTATATTTAGTGAATTTTTTAAAGATTTTTTTCACAAATATTATATTTTTTAAGTGTATTTATGTTAGATGTGTCTAAAAATAAAAATAAAAAAATTGCTTAAAATATTAAAAAATTTAGTGAAAATATGAAGAAAAAAAAATTCAGTGAATTTTGAAAAGTTAAAATAAACAGAGTGAATGATTTTTATAATGAAAAACAATATGACAATCTCTTTCAAAAAAATATGGCCAACAATTTTCATTTTTTTAATTATAAATTATAATAACAAATTTTTCATTATAAAATCACAAAATATTATTTTGTAAGGCTAGATATTTTTTCACATCAAATTATAATTTAACGATTACTAATTTATACATATAAAAGAAATAATAAATTTTGTAGACTACATACATGAAATCAATACATTTAACAATTAAATACAAAAATTAGTGATAATTAAGGACATAATAAAACTGAGTAGCCAAACTGGACAGGTAACTGGGCCAAGACCTCAGTCTGTACAAAAGCCCAACATTGGTAGACCAAGTCATTTGGTGGGCTGATCCACACGGAAAAGCTGGTCTTCAATCGCGCTCCATAAGTGCTTATATATGATAATGTACCCACAAAAGTTCTCATCATACTCACACAATGGTCTTGTAATATTTATACATTAGCCCACAATATATCACAAATAGTCCTGTACCCACATTCACGTTTGCAATTTGTAAGTTTTGGCATTTTAACACCTAAAATTTTTAGAGCACATTTAATGGTGATGTATACTTAACTTATAGATAACACTAATTAATTTAGGCTTGCGATTAAGAATAATTTATTATTATTATAACAGACGAGAAATGTTAGGAATCGTAAAAAAAAATTTATGAAAATGATCATAAAATATTTGTAACTCTTAGATTACCTTGATTAGTGTGTGGTACTTTGTTCTAAGTGTAATTCAAAGGTCACAAATCTTTAATGATTATTTTCATAAAAGACTTTTCATGATACATAGTATTGCTATATAATAGACTAATATTTTAGCTTATAAACAAAATAGTTAAAAGAATAAACGCTTAGGCCCCGTTTGTTTTGGGCTATAGAGAGGGTATTAGGACTAGTAATACCAAGGTATTACCAAAGCCCCTGTTTGTTTGTAGAGAAAGGATTGGGACTATTAGTCCATTGGTATTAGAAATGGTATTAGAAAATAGTGAGGGGATTAGAAATTTTTTTATTTTTTATATATTGGGAATTTTTTTTTAATATAATGTTTAATTTTTTATATTTTTTATTTGTTTTATTATTTTATATAAAAATAATTTAACAATTCCTTATTATTAATCCCCTCACTATCAATCCCCTCACTAACAATCCCCTCACTATTAATCCCCTCATTATCAATCCCTTCCATTCTATCTCCCAAAACAAACGGCCCTTAAAGTGTTATAAGTGGTTTGAAGGTGGCTAATAGTGAACGCCCACTAGAGTGTCCAACAGTAGCAGCCCAAAATTTTTTAAAGTCTCACAATAAACATCCAGGTCTTATCTACTCAAGTTTTTGAAAAGTTGAGAATTTCGACTGTAATTACCATGCTTGGTTATCATTTTTCAAAAATATTTTTTAAAAAATTTTACTTTTTTATTTTCATGTTTTTTTATTTTTACTGAATTTTTTAAATATTTTGAGCAATTTTTTTAATTTTTAAACATACCTAACATACATATACCTAAAAAGTAAAAAAAAAAATTGAAAAAAACCTTTTAAAAATTCACTAAATACCCAAAATACAAAAAAATACAAGAATTCAATATATTTTTTATATTTTTATGTATTTATTAATTTTTAAAAATATTTTTTTACAAATTTTTTACTTTTTAGATACATCTAAGTAAGGTGCATCTAACAAAGTAAAAAAAATGTTTAAAATTTTAAAAATATTCACTAAAAACAAAAAAGCACAAAAATCAAAAAACTCAATTTTCAAAAAACTTAATTCAAAAAACTCAGTTTTCAAAAAACTTAATTCAAAAAATTTTCTTGTGGCCCTTGGGCCTCGTTTGTTTTAAGAGATAGAGGCGGGATTGAGATTGGTAGAGGTGGAGCCTACTATTTGTTGTCTTTGTTTTGAGAGATGGAGAAGGGATTCATAATTCTATCAGCAATGCTAGGTATCATGAAAAATTTTTCATGAAAATGATCATGAAAGATTTGTGACCTTTGGATTATACTTACAATAAAGCACCACACAGTAATCAAAGTAATCTAAGGGTCACAAATTTTTCATGATCCTTTTCATGACAAAATTTTCATGATCTCTAACATTTCTCTAATTCTATAGGATTAGGATGAGCCTTAGTGTTAGGATTGATATAGAAAAGGTGAAGATAGTATTAAAAAATTAGTCCTATGGGATTAGGTTTTTTTTTATTTATTTTTATATTTTATTTACATATTGGACATTTTTTTTAAAACATTAATGTTTAATATTTTTGTATTTTTTATTAAGTAAAAATCATAATTTTATTTGTTTTAATATTTTATATTTCTTTTATAAGGTAATAATTTAACAATTCCTACATTAACAACTACTATTAAAATAAACACAATTTTATTTAATCTACTCATTATCAATTCTCTCACTAATAATCTCCTTCATTTTACCTCGAAAAACAAACACGCCTTCGATAAAAGCGTAAGTGGCTAGTGGTTGAACCACATGTGGTGACCAATTAGGAAAAAAAAAATTGATCAGCAATCCCATTTGCATTAGTTGAAAACAAAATAAATAAAGGGGAAAATTGTCTTATTGATATAGAATTTTACTTTGAATTTATTTTTTATGCCACCTTTTTTTTTCTTTTTTCTTTTTTTTGTCTTTAATGATTTTTTTAAGGATGAATAACATATGAGTGGATATTTTGAAAAAAAAAATTCAGATTAATGATAAACTTTAAAAATGTTAATTATTAAGGATATAAATTTTTTTTTATGTATTAGTAATTATATTTTGAAAGTATAACTTATTTATATTTTTGTCCTTTTTTTAAATCTTAGGATCTATCAAAGACTTAAAAGTTAAATTTATTTATAAAATAATAAACAATAGTATTATATTCATATAATTTTTTTGGGAGATTTACTAATAAATCCCAAAATTTGAACTTATGAACCAGTTGGTCCCATTTTTATTCTACTAAACCGTTTAGTCCCATTCAATTGTGAGGGACGTAATTACCCTCATTTAATTGTTATTGATAAGGCTGTTAGGAAAAAATTGGGTGTGGTGCATGTGTGTCTCACGTGCATAATTAGTGAATGGATGTGTGATGTGTTACATGTGATACATTGTGAGGGTGTCACAGAATGGCAAAGCGCTGTAAGGGATTTTTGTTTTGGGTTGGGTTGGTGTGTTTGGGGGTTCACACAGGCAGACACACACACATTCGTCAAAGACCAAAGGTTTTCAACAACCACACAAAAAAAATCCTCACAGTTACATTACAACGATTCCCAATTGTTCTTCTTCATCATCATCTTCAAGAAGACGACGACTCTGAAACTTTGGGCGATGTCACCGGAAACAGAGGCAAAAGCTGCGGTGGCTCCGATCCTCTCGGCGTCGTAGTTCTGGGCGATGGGTGCAAGTAAAACCCCTTCTCTGCAATCGCTTTCTCTTCCTCCGAAGAAGAACTCCCAATCGATGGCGAACAAGACTTGTTAAATGGGTCTTCAATCAATGGCGTCACAGGACTCAGAACCAGCGATGGAAAATCTAGTATGCTCGGCGATAAGATCTCAGGGTTTCCGATCAAAAACCTAGAAATCTGAATCAAAGGGTTGATTATCTTCAGGCTATTCCTTCTCTCGTAGACCTTGAATCCTTGTTTTTTTTGTCCTGTTTTGATTGGGGGTATGTAGTTTTTGGAGGACTGTGGTGGTGGATCGGAGGAGGGTTTCGAGGCTTGTTTTGCTGTTTTTGATGATTCGGTCAGCATTTGGACTACTTTTTTGAATGTGGTGGTGTCTGCTTGGACGAACACACCCACACCCACACACACACACACACACACAATGATACACACACACACAGCACACACAACGCACACAGTACACACGGAATGATCAACGTTTTCAAAAAAGGAACTGATCCAGCAAACACAGTCCCACATTAAATCAAGGGCACTCTCGTCCACACGGTTAAATAAAAATAAAAATAAAATAAAAAACAAAAAAGACCAAATCAACCCATTAGTAGGACTATTTGGTATAATAGAATAAAAGTGGGACTATTTGGTATAACAGTCTGTAAAGTAGGATTTATTGGTGAATAATCCAATTTTTTTCCCTCACAATCTTTAAAATAAGGTGATCAAATAAAATATATATAAAAAGAGCTTTGAAAGAACATTAGGATATGAATCAACTTTTTAAATTTTACTTCTTCCCTTTTTCAAGAGATTTGAAAGAACATATTATGTGAGAGAATTATTTTTTAAAAATAAATAACGACAAAAAAATATAAAAAAAAATATTTGACAACTTAGACCTAAAGACGTCCGCAGCTAATCTTGACTATACCTTACCTTGTCTCTTCTCTCTTGTCTGAATTGCTTCTCTTCCATATTTTGGTTTATTTAACCAAAACAAAATCTTCTATAAACAAAACAACAAAAAAAGATTCTAGCCTCAAAGCTATTTTGAAGTAGTAGTTTATCTTTCTCACACTTTCAACACGCGTTTAGAAGATTTGATCACAAAAATAGAAAGAGAAAAGTAAATGTAATAGAAAAGAAAGAGGTTTTGAGTTTACTTAGCCTCCGTTTGGGAAGTGTGTTGGTTTTTTGATTTTTTGGCTTTTTTGACTATTTGAGCCTGGGTTCAAAAGCTTGGTTTGGGAAGAGCTTTTTGGCTTTTTGACTTTTTTGACTTCTTTTTTTAGAGAAGAGTGTAATAATTATGGGTTGGATGTGATGTTTTGTCTGTTGTGGCTCAAATAGCCTACTCTGTCTTTTGTGCCTCAAAGAGCCAAAAGAGCCCAAATGAGCTTTTCCCAAACGACACCTTAGGTTAATTTTTTTTCATTTTCTAATCCAATTAAATATAATTAGAATTCGAATCTTATCAATTTTTTCTCATTTTCTTTTCGTTTTATTTTTTTCTTTCTATTTTTCTCATCAAATCTTCTAATCAAATACAGTCTTAATACTGACCATGCATACGCAAATGAGAGAGACAGAAACATATTAACTAAATTAACATTTCAATCAGACATTTTTGCTCCATTTGATTATAATTATAGGGAAACTTAAACTTAGCCTATTATTAGTAATAATCTAACTTTTTAACATCTTACAAAAACGGTGGCTGCATGACGTTATTCTGCATTATGAAATTGACAGCCGATTGCAGGTTTGCCAATTTGTTTGTTATCTCCTTCATCTCGCCGTTTCTCTTTAGGCATCTATCTTTCCATACCTGGAAATCGCTTTCGTTGTAATACCCGCCCTGACATGCTTTCTTCGGTACGTCTCCCTCCTGGCCGACGTCTTTTTCTCCGGGATTCTTACTCCGAGGTTCTTTGTTACAGTTGTCCTCCTCTACGTTAGGTTCAGCATTTTTACCACTCTCACTAGGGATGTCGCCCCTAATCTTTTCTTTCTGCTCGTCGTTGGCTATCTATTCTTCCTACGTTTCCCACAAACGGCGCCAAATTGTGGGTGTGGATTTTTAACCACACAACCAAACAGGGAAACTCAGTAGGAGAGCACCGGCAGAATAGATTATGCCCGAATAACCTGTTATAGAAAGATAAGAATCTGGCGGTAGTTCGTCCACCCGAGGGCACTCCAACGATCAAGTCAGTAATTATCTCTCAAAGATAGCCAATAGTGCTTAACTCACTAGACAGAGCCTAAAAAACATACCTTAGACCCACGAGGGTGCGTTACTTTTATAGCCAGCACTAACCTAATCCCTGTACAAGTCTAGCTTCAATGGACTTTGGTTCAATGCTCATCTTGAACTCCCAGCCAGATAAAGATAAACTCCTTAAGAGCTTTATCTTTATCTATACTAAGGTTCTCCTCAATTCTAGGATTCTTATCCCTTATCCATTCATCTCAGATTCTAGTATCTCAGCAGATAACCTCGGCCTAGCCGAGATCACCTTGGCGCCATGACCAAGACACGTGGCACCTCGGCCGACACTTCGGTGTCGCCTTGGCCGACATTTCGGTGTCACCTTGGCCACGTGTTGTCATTCACAAAATATGTCCCCACAGGTTTCGATAAGGGTGACAGTGAGATATTGAAGCTTGCTTCACGAATCCACACATTCAAGCTTAAGGATTCGCATATGCCTGATGGCTGCGACAACGACAACAAAGATGATTATTGTATGTATAATGTGCATTATGATTACGTTGACGATAATTGAAACTTCTCTGACTAAGGGGGATTTCATTTCTTAGTTTGCTTTTCCGGTGTAAAAAACTCTCTTTTGTTCTTATGTAATGGCTTTTCCGGTGTAAAAAACTCTCTTTTGTTCTTATGTAATGGATGATATATGTTACCCAATATGAACCTAACATTAGAATGTGAAGGGTTTTTTGCTTTCGTTATTTTTGGTTTTTAACAGTTAATTATTAGCAATTTATGCTGTTTTGGTTTTAATTAGTAATATATGGCGTTGGTGGAGAAGCAGGTGTGTGCGATGCTTAAGAGATTGTTAATTGAAGATGTTTTATTTACTTACAATTGGTATTTTAGACTTTATTGTTCTAATAATTTTTTGGATATTTTTGTGTTAAATTTTTTCTTAAATGTTTTTTAAAAATTTGTTCTATATGGTTGTTGTGCATGTGTTTGAGTTTCTAGATTTAATTTTATAAATTTTGAGAAATGATTTTAAGGTCCACAGGTAAAAGAGGTAATATTTTGTTATGATAAAATACAAATACACTCTTTGAGTTTTGTTTTAAATACGAATTACTCTGTAGTTTTAAAAATTATAAATATTCCTTATTAGGATTTTTTTATTGAAAATTATACATTTTTGTTGTAGATGTTTGGTAGAATTTTTCATTTTCTCAGTAGGCTACCGCTAATGCCACGCAGCAACTTTATGTTGGCTTGCAAGTCATATGTATTTTGACAATCTTACACTTTAGTATAGTCATACTTGTGCCAACTCTACTCACACATGTTAATGCAAAATCACTTTTTGTATGAATATTTTGTATGAAGAGTATTTTCTATAAATATAACAGTTTCTCTCTGTCTAATTTTTTTTGTTTTAATTCTGCATTCTCCTTCTAAACTGTACTACCAACAACCATGCCCAATTTTATCTGATCAAGCCGGGTGTGCCTTGGCACTGATTTGGTTACCGTCGTGGTGGCCTTGCTATTGTTCATGGGGTTTGTTAACTAGTGCCCTTAAGACACTTATTAACAAAATCCTTAAAAAGAAAATTGGGAACAACTAATTGTAGCAAAATTAAACCCTGTGCATCAAACAACCACACCCACATTAGTCCATCAAACAAACACACCCTCAGTCTAGGAGTTGTATGACTGTCATCAATGTATATAGAAAGGGAAAAAAACACAAATTATATATAGAAATCACATTCAAAATAATGCCACAATAACATTGATGATGTTATGTTGTCAAATGCAACCCCTCATCCTCGAATGTTTTGATATGAGAAGCAAGCTTCAAAATCTCATCATCACCGAGGTCGAAACCTTTGCAGTTCCTTACATCAAAATATACAAGTTTTTTGCAGCCCTTCAAAATCATCAATAGACTCTCTCGATCAATGTTTGAATACCTTAACCCCAAATACTCTATGTTTGGAACTGAGGTGACAATAGATGTGGCTTCATCTTTCTTAATATCAGTATGGAAAGCAGAGAAACCAGCAAAGTTTTTGGAGTGAATGCTGATTTGGGCAAGAATTTCTTCCATTTTAAAGGTGGTTCCAAACCGTAAAAACTCCAAATATTTCCAATTGCCCATGAGTTTTGGGACCCTGGACACAACATCATGATCTATATCAGCTGGCAGCTCTAATACAATTAAGTTAAGACACCTTGTGAGTCAAAAAGATAGCAAGGGTTACCAACCACTAATACAAAATAATCAAACACCTTAATATAAAACAACAGAGAAAATTAAACCAAAAGAGTTGGTTTGATTGGTGAAAAATATGTTGTGAAGTTAAAAATATTTATAAAATAAAAAAAGAAACTTTATTTTTTAATACAAAAATTTTTTAAGATGAAATTTATGTGAAATTTTTAGCAGTTGACAACTTTTACCAAAATATATATTTTTGTTAAAAAATAAAAATAAAAAAAATAAAAAAAAAAACTTTACAAGAAATTGAAAGTAAGTTACTTGCAAAAGTGGATTGTACAAAAAAAAATTAATCTTGTATTTTCCCCTACTTTCATGCTAAAAAAATGTAGTAAATTTTTTTTATCTTACTTGCACTTTCCATCACTTCTATTTTCACAAGACTCAACAAAGAGTCAAATTTTAATTCTACCTTAAGCCAATTTGTAAAGTAGGAAATAAAAATATTCATTTTTTTGTCAAATGCTAACTAGTGCCATGGTATACTTATTTGTTTTAGAATTGGGTAAAAAGTACATTAAAAATAATAATAATTTTTTTTTTAAAAAAAAACAAAGAAGTTGTGAAATCCATAAAATGTGTTTTGAGTTTGAAAAAAAAAATGTGTCATTTTTTCTTTGAACTTTTTCTTCAACATTGGGCATGAAGAACTCATTGATCTGCAATGTAAAACAGTACTTCATCACAGAAGCCAGAGCCGGGAAACAATACGTACACAGTGGATGTAGTCACTACGCTTAACTAAAGTCTTGACGATTGTTGTGAAAGAGAATTTTCCTTTCACTTGATAGTCATCGATTAATCTTGCTAAGAAAAATAAAGAAGTGCAATCATCAAGTGAGATTTCAAGAAAATCAAGTTTTCTCCAGCAAAGAGGACTCCTCGTGGCTTTGTACCATGACTTGCACACAGATGGAACATCAATTAGCAGTGATTCTATTCCCACTCTGCCTAACACATTCACCAAGCAATCCATATTCAATTCCTTCCATTTTTCTCCTTTCATCTGCACAAATTGAAGATGAAGGGTAAGCATAAATGATAAATAAAAAGAAAAGAAAATTGCATTTAGTGAAAATAACTCAAAACAATTGTATTTTTATGGATGTACAAATCAAAACAAGTGAGAGTTGTTTCTCATGCCACAACTTTCACTTGCACCAAACACAACTTCTTGCAACTTTATGAAAGTTATAATTATGTTGTTCTTATTTAAGTACACCTTTTTTTAAGAAAATATATATTTTTAAAGAACACCATGTAGCCAGCGAAGGTTTCAAATGAAAATTTGTTCCATGTTACTAGAAAATGCTAGGCTTTAAAAAAAATAAATAAATAGAAAACTGCTAAGAAAATGAAAGTTTGTTTAAACTCTGAAATCATGCGTTCATGCAGAAGATAAAGATTCATATATCGAGATTATACCAATATTCACACGAACAGATATGGATACATTCATATATTGAGTAAAAATAAAAGCAATACAACATTTGAAGCCAATTTTTTTAAACTCTGAAATCATGCAATTGATGCAGAAGGGAAAGACAAAGCTTGTTACAGCATTAATTCCAAAAGGAGAGACAGAGCCTTCTTCTCTCCTTTGATTTTGATTACTTTACTGAAACGAATGTGTGTGTATATACATGCAAGATACACGTATATGGAGGGTGGAATTGGAAATGGAAAATGAAGAGTTATCTAAAAGTTGAAAAGTCTGGAAAATAAGGATAAACTACTAATGGGCCCTAATAATTGGGTTTAATTCTCATCAAGTCCGATTGAAAATAAGTCATAGTAAAATCGTCGCTAAAATAATATTTTGACATTTTTTGCATAGGTCGCTAAAAATTGATAATTAGTAACTTTTTTTGTCACGGTTTTATAAATTTTTACTAAAACTTACAACTAATGACTTTTTTGAGACGAATTTTTTAAAGTGTCGTTGAAAATTGAAAATTAGTGATTTTGTGGTGATGATTTTTTTAAATTGTCACTAAAGTTTATAATTAGTGATGTTTTTTGTGTCAAAATTTTCAAATTGTTGTTGAAAAGTAACAATTAGTGACTTTTTTTAATAGCATTTGATGAAAATATCATTAATTATTATAGAACTTATTGAACAATAAGTCTATTTATTAGAATAAGTCTCTCAGAAGATAATTAATTACCTCTTTATTAGTCAATAGTACCAGAATTCAAGAAGATTTGAATGAGTTTAATTCATGCGCTTGAATTTGGTGCCAATTAAACTAATTTTGATAAAGGCTACTAAAAACCATTATAATGGAAATTATGTCCCCCCCCCCCAAAAAAAAAAAAAAAAAAAACTCTCAACCTAAGAAAAAGATATACAATGTTCATCTAATAAGTGGAAAAAAAATTGGGGATGTACTACAAATTTCAATTGTCAAAATTTCTAAACCAAATTAATTGTAATTTCATCATCCCTAGCAGCTACTTAAGAAAGTCATGCCTGACATCGCACCTCCAAGTCAAGAAGGCATAGGGGCGTCCACCAGAGATGGATGAATTCTTCCTTCGTTGAGTTTTTATAGTGGGAAACAATTTGAATCCATTAAGAACATTGATAAATGTCACGACCCAAACCCGCCCCTATGGGTTTAGCACCGTAACCGGCCAGTAATCCGTGATTACGGAAGGCCTGCTTAATAGTAAATACAGTAATATAGAGTACAGGGGCTGGCAGAAGCCAAAACAGTAATAAAAGATATCTAATGAGTTGTGACAGTCTGTATGCAAAAAGACTTTTCATACATATTCACATTCAGAACCAAAACGGTATGTACATACATATACAATCATCCAGGACAGGGACCTAATCCCTATTAGAACAGTACAGTACAGGTACAGTCAGTCTATACAAAAACAGAGACAGAAAGGATGAATCTAAAACACTCCAAAAAGCCCTAGCTTGAAAGACTTGGAACCCCTCAATGAGGCACAGTGGTTGGCTTAACAAAAAGGGAGTTAAACCCAATGCCCCTAGCTCCAATCCGGTGCCTGGGCACCTATATATATATATATAAAAACAATGAGCTAAAGCCCAGTGAACAACATATGCGTAAAGAGGTTAAGAAGGAATGTCCTTTCAGTATTTGAAACAGTCAGTTATAACAGTATATCAGTCATTCAGAAACCATAACAGTTATATGTGGTACATCCAATAGCAAACAGTACAGTAGGTCTTAACAGACCGAACAGTTAGTTGATGGCCATCATAACAGTAAACAATAGTGGTTCCAACATGGGAACCGACAGAGATCTCTGTAACGGTAGCAGTAACAGTACAGTGACTGTAAATTGTTATGGATGCCACGAATACAGTTCGCAAATAGGACAAACATTCATTCAGTAAGAAATATCATTTTAGAAAACAGTATAGTTGGTCATTTAAGAAATATTCGTGATTGAATATGTCTTTATAACATTGTTACTCACAGAGTTCTGGGCTACAGATAGGCTAGTGAGTGTTCTCGGATGCCAACCCTACACAGTTATAGAATGAACACACGCTAAGTTACATACTTGGGAATCAATGACTTAGTCCCTAACTTGACTTGGTGTGGTTCTACATCAATATCCTCATTAAGATGCCTTAAACTAGGCCTAGGAATGCCTAGGATGAAATGAGGATGCAAAGATGTACTTTAAAACACTTTTTAAATTTTTCAGAAAACAGGGGTCTCACTCGAGCGTGGCTTTCTACACTCGAGTGGACATGCAGATAAAGGATCTCCGCTCGAGCATGGCTTCCTTCGCTCGAGCGAACTGCAAACTCAGGTAAAAGTACTAGATGCATGCAATTCACTCTTGATGGGCGCTCGACCTCCGCTCGAGCGTGAGACACAAGTTCTCGCTCGAGCGTGCATTCCCTCGCTCGAGCGGACTGTAAACACATGCAAAGTACTGGATACACGCATTTCACGCTCGAGCGTTACTTTCCCCGCTCGAGCGGACTGCATGAACTCAGAGTGTACGCTCGAGCGTGAAGTTCCTCGCTCGAGTGTGGATCCAAAATCTGGAATTTCCAGATTTGTTTCCAAGCATGAAACTCAACATTTAAAGCATCAAATTCGATCCTTTTGGACTAATTTTCTGGAAAACACTTTAAAACTCATAATATGACATGTTTCAAAGATCAATTTGCAAAATCAAAGCCCAAAAGTAGTTCAATTGAACCTATTTCCAAACAAAACTTCAAGAACATCATGTACATGCAACATGCATAACTTTAATCAACTTCAAAGCTTCTAATACAAGAACAAATGAGTCAATCCTTCAAAAAACATGCTGAATTCATGGACCAAAGCTAGAATATGGACATGCATGTGAGGATTTCCATGAAATCAACCTCAAAACTTAACAATGTGTACATGCATGCATGATTTAAGCTTCAATTCAACATTTTGAACCAATTCTAGACTCTAATCACCAAACTTCCATGAAACATGCAAGATACAACTTAAATACAAGTGCAAGAAGATGATTCTCCTACCTTAGGTCATCAATTTCAAGTCTAGAAGCTCAATTATGCAATCAACCCTTCAAATCTTCTAATTCTCCAAGCAAAACTTGTTGGAACCAAAGCTATCCTAACTCTCTCTCTCTCTAGTCGGTTTTTCAAAATCTTCAAGTCTCCAAGCTAAATTAAGTGAACTCAATTCTTCTTCCAACTCTCAAGCTCTCTCTCACGTTTTGGTCTCTAAAAGTGGCTAAAGAAATGGTATGTCAAATGTGTATGAAATGAAGAGGAGTGTTGGTCTAGAACTAGGCCACTAAGTGGCAATCTTGTAATTAATGCAACTAATGTAATTCAATATTATTTAATCTAATTTAATCATTCCCAATCAATTTCAAATTAAATCTACCATAAAATCACATAAATTCTAACTAGCATAAAACACTAATCAGTTTCGGATTCAGCCGCCGATAAGGTTTTCAATTTGCAGTTTAAAACATAAAACATGAACAGATCAATTAACAGTCAAACAGATAGAAATGCGTTTAAACTAATACAATTAATCAATTGGTTCAGAATGTCAGTCAAATCAGTTACTTAATCATGTTCAGTCACAGTTTAGCAGTAATTAGTGGTATGATCAGTAAACAGTGGTGAGGGTTGTCACATTAAAAGCTTTAGACAAGTGAGTACCAATTTATTTCAGGTTGTTTGACAAGCAAATCAGCAAAGTATTTGTTAGCTGTTAAAAGAAGCAGTTGAAAACAAAAGCCAAAAGTAAATATCAAGGAGTTCAAGAGCGGCACAAGCTAGTGCCTTGATATTTCATCCACTACATAACAATCCATTACAGACAACACAACGGAGAGTTTCTAGAACTGAGTCTAGGTTGACAATACCAAGCAAACACATTATACAATACACTTTAGTCAAAGACGTTTCCATCATGGAAGCCGTTTTCATGATAGGAAGGGCAGTAGTCATCATAATAACCATACAACATCGAACCCTTATGCTCGAATGTTTGGATATGAGAAACAAGCTTTAATATCTCATTATCACCTTCGTCGAAACTTATGCAGTCCCTAACATCAAAATATTTAATCTCTTTGCAGCCCTTCAAAATCATCACTAGGTTCTCCTTTTCCATGGATGCATGCCTTAGAAACAATTGCTTTATGTTTGGGAGTAGGGTGACAATAGCTGAGGCTTTATGTTGAATATAGGCTCTTGGAATACCCAATCCAATAAAGTTCTTGCAGTGAATGTTGATTTGTGCAAGGATTTCTTGCAAGTGAAAGGTGCCTTCAAGCCTTAAAAGCTCCAAATTTTTCCACTTGCTTATAAGGTTTGGTATCTGTAACATATGATCACGAGGTAGATAACGAGGCAGCAGCAAAACCCGCAAGTCAGGACACCTGGTGAAGAAAAAAAAGACCAAAGGTTACCAAGAAAAATGTTGGAAAAATGGTGTTTTTATAAAGCTTATTTTGGGC